ATTAGTTTACATGATTGTATTTAGTAATTAGTAATACGCGATATGTGCAGTATATTCATATATTCGTGTGATTATTCAAATAGCTTCTATACTTTGTTTTCGTTCTATATTCAAAGCTAACTATGACTTTCTCGCTACTATTAGCTCGATCTTTTATTAGAATAATGAACAATATTCTTCTTGTACTATTTGTTGCAAATTATGCACATTTAAAGATGTTAATGACCGAAATAATATTTATAGATCTTTGAAATCGTATGAATAATTATAAATCTCATAAATATAATTTGAAAATAAATATGATTTTAAACATTTCGTATGCAATATTCTTTATTATATTTTATAATTTTTTGATGGAAATTGAATAGCGAAAATAATATAAAACTGTGTATAAAATAATTACAATATATGTAAATTTAGTGGTTATATGATAAAATTAATTAGTTTATAAAATTCTGTTATCAATTTTTAGTATTATTAACACTAAACGCTGGCTGTAAGAAAAGAGGTATATATACGTATGTAAATAAATTGATTGTAGATATATTAACAAGAAAGCCACGAAATTGTATGGTGATAATGACAATATTGAATGCACGATTTGTAATGAAAAGTGTAAAATCATTTATTTAGACTGATAGATTTACTATTAAACATTTAAGATTATACGTAATATACATAACTACTATATTATACATATATAGATGATTACTGACCTTTAAACACTACCGTTTCAAGGTTCATTTCTTGAGCGTGACAATTTTGGATATGTGTAGGTATTCATCGATGACCTACATAGGAATAACAGTAATCACAGACACCGTCCAAAATTTAAAATATATAACTCTTTCGAGACGTGAATTAATACTTAAATGTTAGTATTGTGTTTTTAGCCCATCAGTTGTTTACACCGAACGCATATATGAGTTCCTCGGCCAAACTGATAGTTTCCACCGAACGCATATATGCGGCGCTCGTCTGTAAAGAGTTAATTATTAAATATTTCCTGTGTTACTTCCTATCCTATCTTTAAATTGCAGTAACTATATATTTTCTTTGTGATGAAACCGATAAAAGAGTGCATACATTGTATATTCAATAACTTACAAGTACATAAAAATTTTATATATTGCAATCTTAGAATTAATTGGAAGACATGATATTTTGGACAATACTATATCTATATTACCTCACAATTATTATTACTTTGTATTATAAATAATGTAATAAGAATTATAAGGGATAAGTTATGTTAAATAATAATATAAGTATAATTTTTTTGTTATTTTTCTTTTTCTATTTATGGGTACCATATCTTTCCCGTATCAAATAAAAACTTGTATTACAATAGAATTTCTATTATCTAAAGAGTTATTAATTTTACCATCTAACAATTGAATATTTCACTATTAAAATATCCCATTATTTAAAGAATATATTTCCTCCATAACTTCACTACGAAATGTTAAAATATTTTGTGCAATATTATTTAAAGAAAAAGAAAGAAATGTATGCTACTGGCTATTCAAAGCTAACTTTAAAAACCAGAAAATGGTAAAAGTGTTATAAAAATTGTGAAAATATATACGTAAAAAAATTTGTACCTTAAAGGATTTATAATATTGAAAAATAGAAAATGTACTTCAACGCAACTTGATATATTAAAAAGTCGGTATAATCTACCAGCAGGAAGGTAACGAGATCCATGAGTAATTAAAAAGAAAAAAAAAAACTATATACTGCATCATATTACTTGCTATTGTCACTAATGTCATTCTTTTCACGACATATGCTAATAATTGTAAAAAAAGAAATCATTTAACAAAAATTCTCCAATTCAATCACATTTTCTTATTTCCTACTTTAGGTATAGAACGTTTTATTGTGTTGTATAAGACTCTCATTAATAATTCTATTCACATTTCGTGTCTTTTATGATGATTTATTTATAGATTATAGAAAAGGCCAGTAAAACGTTTTAGCACTGGACATTTCATGCGCGCGCAACTATTAATGGCCGCTCGAACGTAGCAGTAGACTTAATTTAGCAATGAAAACCTTTAGAACGATAAAAGATTATGGTGTTACAATTGTTCGTGCTTCAAAATCATCCAAGCTGTCCAAGCAGTACCATTACCATAATTATTCCTATCTTTATTACCTGATTTATGATAACTTAGACAAGTAAGATTTAAATGGGTTATTAATCATTTATTTTTGAGGTTATCCATTGTTATACATTTATATAGGCTACGACCACGAATAGTTAGTAGATATGACTAAAAGAGAATCTAAGATTAATGGAGAATATGGATGAAGTCTTTTATTTGAGGTTTCTCTTTCGAAAATATCGTTTTTGAGAAATTTTTTTTTACACGTGTATTTTATTCTGTAGATGTTGAAAGACATTTTTAAACGATCTTTGCTTATGATTTCTTATGAAAGCATAATGCTTATGAAATAATTATATTAGGGGTATACATATGTAAAATTAGAAGTGAATATGGAATTATTATTTATTTACTTGCTAATTCTTTGAAGAGAGAAGTTTTCAAACATGTTAGTAGATTCTCGAAGACTTTATGGATGGTATCCATAAATCTAACATTTGAAAGTAAAGTTTTACTTCATACTTTCACAGTGTTAGACATCTTCAGATTTCATTCTTATTTTCTCGTACTCGTATAGCTAAAAAGCAAGAACGTTTCTAAGTAGAAATCAAGCGTATCAACGATTTCACAATCCTAATTTTCACCAAAACAAACCTCGAGTAAAAGAAATTATTACATGCTTCCGATTTATTTTTGCGCAAAAAATTATCCTCTTGCTTATTTTATATAATAAGTATATACCAAAAAATCATTTTCTTCGGTAATGCAGTATTTTAATTAAATATATATATTTACGTACATTTATACGTTATATTATATATTATCTATATTTTTTTCTATTATAGCCATTGAAGAATTTATTTTAATGATTATTAATAAGTATTAATACGTATTAGAGATTAAAGAATTTATTTCCTTCTTCGCGTCTTCTTTTTTTCATTTTTTACAGAAATAAAATTGCTTTTATTGTATATATGTATTTAGAAGGCAGTAACTTTTATAAGAATACGATTATGATGCCTGAAGTTGGAAAGTATCCTGTTCGTGTTTGAACGAAAGAAAAAATCTGCCGTGCCTCCATGCGTTTTCCTCGACGAATTTTGTTTCATCAGTTTTACATCTATCGTATCTCAAGAATTTATATCGAAGTCTTTTAAGTGAAACTTCACTGGTATTGAAATACGGAAACCAGATTACAACTGTTTATTCCACGCGAAAGAGTTGGAGAAAAGCTGGTAATAATAGTGATAAGTCAGGTTCATTACGCGCGGAGAAAATCGAGGTGAAACACAAATGAAAGAAATGAAAATAAGATAGTGAAAAGAAATGAAATAGTACTTCAAGAGCAAACTAATCGTCCGGTTGGACAGATATAGCGTTATACAAATATAAAAATCAAACATAGCAGGTTACAATTGTTCCAAGCGATAAATAAATCATTATCAAGGGATGCTTCAAGGTCAGATATTGTATCGCGACACGTAGTATCTACGATTAGGAAAACTTTATAAGGTGGTTGCTTCTTGATGTTTATGCATATGGAATTTTTTGATATTGCGATATAATAGTGTACTGTGTCGACACTAAACTTCGCATGTGCAGTTACATATTGCAATAGATGTTTATCTGGTAACTCTGAAGGGAATTTCAATGAGCATGTTCTTGCTTAACCCTATACTATTGAATATTTATCGAATATCAGTGAAATTCATTGTAATCCACAATGCAATATTTCTAAATTAATAACCGTATTATTATATATGACTTTTCATATTATTTACGTGCGTTGCTATTTTTAGAGAAACAAATCGAAGACCGGCCAATGCCGATGCAGAAAACAAATGAAAAATCAACTAATACCGTTGTAGAAGACTATTTTTAGAAACAAGCTAGCTGAGTTGCGTGGTCCTTGCGGAGGGCGAAACGCAGGTCAGCGGAATCGTATCTCTTCATAGGGAGCGAATTGCCAATCGGCAAAGTGACGTAATTTTCATGAGGGTAAATGGCTAATTGGCTGAACCATATCAGCTAATTACCGATTGATCAAAGCACGCCATCCAAGCTCGGCAAAGGATATAAAAATGAGGCCCTAGACGGCACAAAGAGAGATAAGAAGCCTTGAAGAATCTTGGCGAATATAGTTTGTGACTGGCACGGACGTTAGTCGTTCCGTATCGGAGAAAGACGAATAGAAGCGCATTTCCTGCAATATTATTTTCCGCGTTTGGTGATCGTTTCGTTCTGTTCGTTCTAGGTGTCTCAAACCGTTTGCGCAGATAAAAAGATTTCGATAAAAAGAGGGAATACATACGCGTTATTTCTGTAAGCTGAATACGGAATAAGACTTGTTTTTGGCATACTATACTTATAATGTTTATATTTTTTATATTGTTTACTTCATTTTTATTATTTGTATTTTCATATAAGTTTAAGATCTTTATACTATTTAGATGACGCATACTAAACTATGTCTATTGCTGCCACCTGTCGGACAGTGTTTTGTAACATTGTATAGTCTTTTGTTCCCGTTGTTTACTCTGTACCTCTTCGATACCGCTTTAAAACGTTCCTCTAATAAAACATTTCGTGTTACTGCTGTGTTCTTTGATTCATCCTTTGATGTTATTATTTATTTAATTTATATACTAGTATGTATTAATGTACATTATTTTTTATATTATTTTATTACATCGAAGAAAATATATTTTATTAGCATTTCTTATATTTCACGTAGTTTCGGTTATATTTCATATTTTGATATATTTGTATTTACAGACTTAAGTGTTTCTGATATTTCGATTTCTGTGATTAAAAGCTGTGACACGAATGTTCGTGCTTCTATTATTCTAAACATTCATGCTGAGATGTCTCTTCCATTTCTTGTTGCAGTTGACAATACCAAAGAGCCTAATATAGCATGCCAAATCAAAGATGGACCGCAACAGGCTCATTGATTTTGTTTTTCCTTATTGGCATTTTGGAAACCACTATTGGTACGTAAACTATTTTTAGATCAATTAATCCTATATAATTGAAACTTTATTTGCTTCTGAGAGGAAAACGATCATAATTTCAGTTTTCTATTTCTTAATCGAAAATTTTTAAATTATCGTAATAACTATATTAATACAATAGTAATTTATAATAGTAAACTTACCGTTTGTCATTTACTTCTAATATTATAAAATACAGTGATAAATTATGAAAATAAAATTTAGGAAATAAGTATTGTACATAATTGATTATTACATTTTTTCCTTTACTCCAAAATCTTTGAATCATTGTAACAATTGTATAAAACAAACTAATAAAATACAATAGTAATTTCTAGTAGGAAATATTAATGAAATATATAGCGTTAAACGAAAATAAAATTTATAAGATATACATAATATATATACGTACATCAATATCAATAACCTTCAAATTACATAGTATCGTATAGGACATATAAAAACTTGGAAATTAAAGAAAGTTATTTACTCGTGCTTCGACTTATTCTTTTTCATCACGGGTGTACGAACCATTTTGTCATTACCATCGTCATTATTATCGTCATGCTTATGATTATCAGGTTAATGTCAAAAGTGTCTATTAACGAAGAATTTCACCATGAAATTACATCAGGAATACTTTTAGTAGTTTTCGTGTGAAAGCTGCGAAAGCATACGATGAAAAGCCACGTTTTCATCTCGTGGACGCCATCATCGTACTCCTTCTGTCCCACAGACGGATATTTATTATAATATCAAATTCGGTGATCATAATGTCGTAACATCGGCGTTGTTACGTTAATACTTACACGTGAATTGTGTGATAGTTTATTGCTTGTGTTGAAAATGGAGCGAAACGTTTGCAACACCATAACCTCGTTTTATTGAGAAAGTACTTGAAATTTACATGCGGTTCGATGATTTCGATTCATGATTACGAATTATGCGATTCTTCGAGACACGTTTATTATAGGATATTCCTAGATTTCCGGAGAAATTATATAATTTAGGCTGATACCATAATCACGTAGGTCACCATACACACGTAACATTGACATACTTTGTGGATTTACATCGAAGAAAAATGTAAGAACGTGGAAATTAACTGAGTTAGAGTAAATGATTTATTCATATTTGCACTTTTGCTTCGTGTAGTTACAATTCGTGTTTGAAAAAATTCCATGATCTTTCAATGATTTACGAGATAATACAATGTAACGAAAATTGTTTGCCCATTTGTAGACAGTGTTTCGGTTGAGCATGTATTTAAATTAGAGATTGTAAAGCTTCGTTAATAACTTCTGCAAATATAAAGTAAACGTAATTTGTATTTCTTAAGAATGATTGTTTATTCATAAGTATTTTATATGTCTGACCATATCTGTTTTTGGTTTCATCTATTAATAATTTTTGTAAGTTTACTCATAGTATAAATCACTACGAATTGTTTTTTCTGTTATTTATTAAAGTAATTAATTTGCTTGCGGTATTACTTATTGAAATAATCAATCTGCAAACGTAATTATAATTTATAACAAATAATCTAGAAGCATAAATTGTTTCTAACAACTCTTATGCTTGTCATCGATTTCGTATTTAATTACGTTTAATTATATGGCTAAGATACTTATACTTCGTAATTTTCATTTTATTTATTTATCACTGTCATATTATATTCTATATTACTATTACAATGTCAAATTATATTATATTATGTATATTGTGGTATTACATTATCATATTACAATATTATTATTATACTGGTATTTGAGAATCGTCAATCTTCAAATTTTAGGGTACAAAAAAATTGCAAATAATTAAAATTTCTCTTTTCATAAACAAACCAACAAACAACGATCATAAAGGATTAGTCTCCTTCCTTCAGATTCTGCATAGAAGAACCTTTGTTATCCAACCATTGTGGAAACAAGCTGTTCCTCTGTTAGCATAAGTAAAATAAAATGTAAAACGTTCCGTTATTTCAACTTTTCGTGGATGCGTCATTAAATGGTTTAAGCAGTCTCTGTTACTATGTTTACACATTCTCACATATGAGATACAGTGATTATTATGCCATTAAGGAATGTAAATAGAAATAATAATTGAAACACCACTATTTAACCGGATCTACGTTTAAACGTATGTAAGAAACATATGTCGCTCTAGATGTAATATAGAGTCAGATGTGAGATCAGTTAGCATTTTCTGATATTTCGGTTACTATTCTCTGTTACTTTTAGCTATTATTTTATTCATTTTGACAAAAGAATTGTAATTTGTATGGAAAAAATGTCCATTTATATCGGTCACATATTTCTTTCTTACATCTTTTATTGTTTGTTATATATTTCTATTGAAATATTTAATCAGACCTAAAATACATAAACTGCAAATACACACATTTACAATGTAATAAACGAAGATTGAATAGCACAATTAAATTATATAAACAATCAAATTGTCATATCTATTAATACGGTACATTTTCAATTTAGATATTAAGGAAACGTGAATGTATATGTACTCTAAACGGAAATACAAAAAATATTGTTGCAAAATAGCGATGCTCAACTAAGGGGAATGCATACCACGGATGGCACTTTGAATATTCTTGGATGATAGCGAGTTGAACCAAATTCTATTAAATTTGAAAATTATGTATAGTATGTTATGTCACAATTCATACACAGTACCCAGAAAGTGGTACGTAACTTAATCACGTATTTGTTGCTTGGTACACGAGAAAAGAAAACTACTGCTCTACATACTAAACAATATCGAATAAAATAATATTATTGAATAAATAATAAAATAAATTTTCTCAACCACTTGATACACATAAACGTTTAATTTATTGTTGCGTTTTGTGTTTGAGAGCGTAATTACTCGTCAAACTAAAACATAAAATAAAATTTAATTTTACTTTAAAATTTAATTCAATATAAGACAATCGATACATATTCATGTACTAATTATCAATAATACAAAGAGAGAAAACAGAGAATATTTAATGACCCCTATAATATATTTTATTTACGAAAAATGGTAATATGCTGCAATGTAATGCATTTATTAAAAATGATAATAGTAACATAATATATACTTCTTAAAAATGATAGTTATATTTCCAAATTTTATATCACGGCACATATAGTAGAGGATGAGCAGTGAATAATTTCTTAATAACAATTTATTTACGATAATATAAAGATCTGATAATAAGGGTAGGAATTATTTGGTGACACGAGTCTATAACAACCCTCGATATACTTCAATAGTTCTACGCTATTTCTCGCAACGCTAGATGCGATATTACAACACTCAACTCTGTTTTTTGCTCATTCTAACTCCGTTCGGCTCTGACTCTCAATCTCAATCTTAAATTCAAAAACTCTTTTCCGATCATCCTCGGCGTACTTCATATTTCTTCTCCATCGTGCACACGCTTTTCGATATTTCCCTTAGGCATGGCCAAATATGGCCATGTTAACCCTTTGTACATGACGATTTTTTGGCTAGAAAAGAGTAGAAATTCAAAGATTCTCTGCTGTAAAGTTGACGATACTTTTTTCAGCAGCAAATAAAGAATCCTATAATAATTATCACGTAGAATTATTTAATTTCGACACCTCGCACACTGTTACATTATTTTCAAATTGATATATTTATTAATATCGATCTTCCAAATTTTATGTTGTGGTAACTGAAGGTCACCTCTTGAGTGCAAAAGGTTAAGGGCCCGAAGCTTGGGCTTTGCACCTGAGACCTTCTGTAACCTTCGTAAAGCTTACATGTACATAATGGAGAAATTACGGTACAGTCAAGTCTCCTATAACGTGATTAATTCGTACCTCGTTATATGGAAACCGTGTTATAAAAAAATCAGAATTAATTGAAATCAGGGAATTCGTTCTATGTAAATCGCGTTATGATAAACATAGTAATCAGAGAAATCAGATTAATTTATACCTCGTTACATGGAAACCACTCTCGCGTTATATAGGAACCATGCTATAAGAAACTTGGAAATAATACAAATTGAATGAATTCGTATCGCATGGAATCTCAATCTCAAAAATAAATAAATTGTACCTATCAGGCCTATATAAAGACTGCATTTTCAAGGTATCAAATCGCGATTGACACGGTTAATAAATAAAATTTTATAATAGAAACTCCAATGAATATGCAGCTTTTTACATATTTGAATTTAGATTTGTCGAATTCGTAGTTCGTCTAATAAAATTCTAAACTAAAGAAATTGTTTCCAACAAAAAAAACTTAATTTGTTACATATTAGTGACGCATCCTAATTTAAAATAGGATTCTAACATGTTAAAGTTGAACATTTATTACTTTGTTTTATATAATTATCTTGCGCCTATCAAAATCCTTATTAAAATCTTTCCTATCATAAGTTCTCTTATCCATCAATTTTATTTTATATTTCTTCTTATTTATATTTATTTCTGAAACAAACGTTTTATTCTCAAATACTCCTATGAAACCACGTCAGTCTAATCAGAATTCGGATGTTCTTATCATGTGGTTCGTCAAATATTTTGCAGTCTAATCCTTCTTTTCCTAATTGGTTAAAAATCCTCCATGCTTTGCAAATTTTCTTCTTGGATTTCAAATATAGTTTTTATTTTGTAGTTTTTCCAAAACCTCTTTATATGAAGTCAAGCAATTTTGAAATTCTCTTTTAAATTTTGCACTCCGCATCGTTGAAGGATCATTTTGAGTTAATAAGCGTTGCCATAGATACATTTTTTTCAAGTCATTTGAGTTGTTGGAATGTTCTTGTACGAAAAACGTGTTATAATGAGACCGAATTATAGGAGAATTATCCCAATTTTCGCTCCGCGTTATAAGAAACTTGAATGTACTACAATATATTTGTATATATTTGTATATTGCCATAAAAAACTGCATTAATCGGTTTGACCCTGTAGGGAATCCCATCAGAGGCGAATCAAAAAGTGGTGTGGAGATACCTATGAGCAACTGGACGCAGCTTGCAGATGAATGGCTCTCTAAAAGAGCAAAAGTAGCAGAAAAAATAGACGTTACCATTTTGCCATTTACAGGTTCGTTCAAAGAAATTCCACCTACTGTAGAGACAATTATCAATGGCACCAGAACTGAACAGTTATTACGGGTAAGAAAATTTTCAATATATCTAAATTATATTTATTATAATATCGTAAGCTAAAAATAAATCGGAAATTAAAAGAAATTGCGAATTAAATAAAACTTGCAAACTTTAGAAAAATTTTTAGCTCGTGCAGCGCCGATGACAATATCGTGGTAATGTTAGCGTAATGTGATAAAATTATTTTACGCAAAGATATAAAATTTCTCTGATTAAAAATTTGTGTAAAAATATAAGACTCCCTTATGTGTAGATTACACTTTAATTATTATCATTAGTACCAATTATTTTATAATTAAGGAAATTGAAAATTAAAGGAAGTCTATGCATTTATTTTCCTCGAGTATAATTCATATTCATAATTCAAGTTTGCAAATTACAGGATACGTAGCAACTTGAAGCTATCATTTAACCTAACGTTCAAATCACTAAAATTATTGAATATTAAAATCCCGGTGCGAATTGAATAGATCATATGCGTTCTATATGTTATGAAATCCACACAATTGAAAGTGATATTCATGTTCCTTTTTCAAGGCCATTTTAAAGTTAACTCTTATTCTTTCAAATGAACTATATTTTTATTTTAACAAGGTGAATAACCAGAATCTACCGAAAGATGTACATGCTGATTATGTTTAGTTTGATTAAATAATTTTGAAACCTTTCTCGAATATCTTATAAAAGAGGAATAAAAATCATTTTTTAAAGTAAATACTATTTTTTAATATTTTTTAATATTTTTTAATATTTTTAATATTTGAATACTTTATTATATACTCCAAAATAGAATTCGTGTTTTATTTTATATATATGTATTAACGAAAAATATTAGCAGAAAGTACGATACTGATGTGAAACATCTATGTAAAATCATTTCTGAAATTAAAAAATCATTAATTGCGATATTTGTTCAATTAAGTAAAATAATGACGACCTTGTACATATTAAAGTAGATAGAATTAGTGAAACTTCCCACACAATGCAACCTATATTGTAGATACATGCAACTGAAGATTAAGAAATCGCGTGTTAAATTAGAGCGTCTGATATCTGATTCACTTGAAACATTTTTCTAACGTTGATGCACAATTGCTTTTGATCGTCACTTTAATCACCGAGTTACAATTGAATCGTATGTGCTGAACCGGCTTAATGAATATAAATCGTTTGATTCCTGAACACTTAATTTAATTATATGCTCAGATACTAGCAATAAGACAAAGAAAACTATAGTCTTACTCTAATTTTATTTTAACAGATAAATTAATAATTTGTTTTACTTTACTATACTTTCTAATAATTCGAATACTTCTGAAAGATATCGTATATATAGCCGGTTGCAAAGATATTCAGACACTAGTATTGATTTCATTTTTATTCGCTGTATTTTAATTAAATATACAAAGAACAAAGTACAGTTTTTAGATGATAAATCTTGGGATTATGAGTTTATAACTATAAAATTACTACCATATATATAATTCTCTTCTCAATTCTTTTATTACTCGAGGAAGGTACATCTATCTTGTGTTTCTCTAGAGTAACTGACCGACTCGTAAGAAAGTGTCAAGAGGGCACATGACGCAGTTCGCGCAAACCTTCAATTCTTATCTAATATTTATATAAACATTTATTCTTGGAATCTAGGTTTTATCAACTTTTTATTCACATCTTATATCCGAGATTGATTTTTCTATGCGACTAAACATTTTTTCAACAATAAAAATGCAAAAGCATTTTATTTATTACGTACAACATATATGTAGGATAGCAAAAAAAATCGCGAATCGGCTATTGCCAACAAAAACAAATTGTAAACCGATCGATATCTTCTAGAAGCAAATCGAAAAGTTATTCTATATAACAATATTAAGTTGCGTAACTCCTCTACTGGGAGGTGAAGCGTAGGTTATGGAAAGCATAAAAGCGTGGTCCTTGACAACCAAGAGTCCTTAGAAATCGGTTGTGACCAGCGTGAGTCGCTTGGTGTTGGAAAGAGAGTTTTAAAATAAAAGAGTGTGTCTTTGTGTGTTTTCGTTTCGTTATCTTCGTGTTCTTTTCCTAAGTTAAATCAGTTTACGAGTTTTGAGTTTCTGTTATTGTGTTCTTGTTGTTTTATCAATTTTTGGTGTCTCAAAACCAGTTTTCGCCATCCTACATATATTTAAATAATTAAAAGAAAACGAAGAAATCGCTGATTTTTAGGTCACCGTATGGTACACTTAGTATACAAGCACCTGACAAAGTGCACGCTATAATTTTCAATGTTTTTCGAGTAACTTTAGAGCGGTGTATCTCTGTAAAAAAAAAAAAAAAGAAAAAAGAATCGTTTGATCATAAATCAAATTCGATTTTACAAAGGAAGATTAGTACTATACAAAGCAGTTGATAAAGATTTTGGAAAAAAATTACTATCTTCAGAATATTTTCGTACAAATAGCAAGAAATCGATACTCTTTATTTACTTATTTCATAAACCTAAGATAGTAAGCAGTTTTTGCTTTCAGATTCGGATTTCTCGCGTGAAAATATATAAGAAGCTTTTCCACTTTCGAGAAACAAAATCTCGTTGATCTGTTTTTTTTTTGTCGCAGTCATTTTTCGTATAAAGAAGTAAAGTTGTAAAAAGAAATGTGAACTGTAGTTAATATTCTTCTGTATTCTTCAGACACACTATGCGAGTACATATGTAACATATGCATACATTGAATTAGTTTCAAGAAACGTTGAAAATCACGGGTTGTGCTATTATCTTGTCGCGTACCGAATATATTTTTCAATTCCCAGAAAGCTATAAGTACAATTTTTGTAAACCTAATGCTTAAGTAAGGTACGAAAAATGTTAGCGACAGTTAGTGATTTTCCAATGGGAAAAATTGGCAAACATTATAAAAAGATACAAAATTGAAGTTAGAATTGAATTATTTGTCAGAGTGGATGTCAGTATATCTTAAGCGATGAATCTTGGACAAGTGAGTCAAAATTAGCAGTATTATTACAAGAAGAACGAAGTATCATTGTATACCTCGAAAACGTGCAAAAAAGCATAGATTAACGCAAAGAACAGAAGGAAGATACCGGTACTATTTAGGATTTAACCCTCGGAGCCCAGTCCCTCCCTCAACGGTAACGAGGTCTCTCCTGACCCCACACTGAGAGACATCCCACCTTTATTCAACTTTCCCACCACTCTCTGGAATAGCCGACCGTAGACGAGCGAAGCGGCAAGCCCGACACTCCGGGTCAGCTTTGCATTTAATTTTTTGGTGCAGTGTATTATCTAATAACATCTAAAATATGGGGGGGGGGGGGAGAAGAGTTTATTTAAAAAATGTAAAATTTTATAAACATATTTGTGAGGTAATATCGGGTTAATAAATCAAAAGCAACTTTTGATTCTGATTATATTTTATATTTTTTGATGGTATAGAATGAACGGAGGTACGAGGTCTTCTATAATTCGCGATACATACGGTGGACTGTCAAAAAAGCGTGTCCCTTCGAACCCTTCGAACCCTTCGGCAAGTTTTTTGTAGACTGCGTGACACCGGTCCATAGCGTCACTCATCCCAGCTTCGAGGAGAATTGATAAGTTGAATGGTTCCTCGAAGCAAAGATAGACCCCGATGCAGGGTGACGCCATCCAAATAAAGATTCTTCTCCCATATATAACACCTGAACCTCTTTCGCGATTCATTCGGTGATCATTCTTTTTGTTTGTCTTCGTTCGCATATATACCGAAACGTATGCATTGTCATACACCCTAACAGTATAGTTAATCTTTTATCGAATAGACATGTAATCCTTCCTCATTTTGCTTTATCTTTTCCGTAAAATTTATAAGAGTGAAACGTATGCATTGTCATACACCCTAACAGTATAGTTAATCTTTTATCGAATAGACATGTAATTCTTCCTCATTTCTTTTCCGTAAAATTTATAAGAAGATTTGTCCTGCGTTCGACGTGTATACTCATCACCATTGCTTCACTTTAACTCCACACAACGCGACGGATTTTTTAACCTAAATTCCAGAGGTAACTGGTTAACAGGAGAATCTTATTTACATTTTCTATGCAAAGAATTGTCAACATTACTGGAAGAAGTATCTTATCCTGTTGGGTAACGAATAATTTTCCAACGCTGCTCCATAACTTCACTCTACACTTCATCCGAAGAGTAAGAAACTTTTTAAATGAGAATTATCAAGGTTTGCATTGGTCGGACGGAAGAATTAAATGGTCTACAAATTCTCTTAACTTCTATTTATGAGATCGTATCACAGAACAAATTTATGATACAAACATTCAGAGCCGGGATCAATCGACACAACGTGTTAATCATACACTTGAAAGTTTAAAAAGTAAAACGATATATATTTTTATTCTTTCGTGAATGCAGTGACTCCTAAACGTCCTGTAAACGTTATTTACAAGCACAATAGATACTATACATTGGTGAATGCATCGTATCTTTGTTCTAAGTACGGGTAACACGTGTACGTGTTATTTAGGAACACCCTCTACAAATTGACAGATATCTCCAATTTTTTTTCTTTTCGCAACAAAGTTTTTAATTTCAAAAAATTTTCCATTGTAAATGTATATTGAAGTTGCTGTATCAAATATAAAAATTCTCGAAACGCAGGAGATTAATTTTCGAGTTACAAAATAACGGATATTTCAAAGTCACTAAAATGAACTAATCGAAGATCTACAAACTGATTCAATGTCGACCATTCTTTTCTTTAGTTTGTGGTAAAAGTATATACATTATGTGGTAATATTACGCAACTTGTGGTTAGTCCAGTGTATATATTTATACTTCTCTAGTGTACATATTACCTACTTTCAAATGTTGAAATATGCGAGGTGGTTGCAGTGGATTTGTATTGAGCCTGCGGTGAGGTCATCAGAGGACACTGCCCACTTTTGACATTGTAGTTTATATATTATACTATATCGTTATATTTTTGCTGTTATATTATTGTATTTAGTGTATT